ACCTAATAGCAACGACCTCAAACCTAATAGCAATGGCCTCCAACCTAAGAGCGATGGCCTCCAACCTAATAGCAATGGCCTCCAACCTAATAGCAATGGCCTCCAACCTAAGAGCAATGGTCTCCAACAAAATAGCAATGGCCTCAAACCTAAAAGTGATGGCCTCCAAACTAATAGCAATGGTCTCCAACCTGATAGCAATGGCCTCCAACCTAATAGCGATGGCCTCCAACCCAAGAGAAACGACCTCCAACCTAGGTGCAAATGGTTTCTGTTTTCTTGTTTGGCCTTGTTGCCGGTTTTTGTTCGCTCCGTTATTCTGTTTCTGACGATGACTAATGACAACTTCTGTGCTTCCTGCTTGGATGAACGAATCGTCATTGGAATGGCAATTGCTAGTGAATCAGAAGTGGATGACGCTGCCGGCGACCTGAGCAGAGCACAGACACAGACGGCATGAAGCGATGGCGAGAACAGTTGGCAGCACGCTGCAACAGGCCGTCACAGCGTTTCAGCTTCCGCCAAACCCGACCAAGAAGCGAACGAACGTGAACGAATGGTGACGAATGGTGACGGGCTTCCGTAAGAGGTGGGCTATGAGGGAGTAGAGTCGCCTCCTGCTAGCAAGGTTGCGGATGTTGCGTTGGCCAATGCTAATCTACCTCCTTTTTTCAGAGCCGGTGTTCAAAAGGCCCAAAGATATCACTGTTCGGCCAAGTCTCCAGGCTTACCATACCTGCACTGCCCATTCTTTGTGGCACAGCAATACTCGCTCCTTCAGCAATTGCTGCAACTGCACAATCATCGAAGTTCCTACGTGTATAGTTTGGACCAGCCCTGCTTCGTCTCAGGTCGGCATCTTCAGAAGGAAAACAGGAAAAAACAAGCAGAAACGTGGAGAAACTATGAGAAACTATTGTACATTGGATATGGTTGGACAAACTTTCAAGCCGAGAGTCTCTAAATGATACCGGCACGACCCTTGCTGGAGAACATCTTCGTCCACCAGGTTCTGGAAGCTGCGATTTCCCTCCACAGGCTGAGCAGAAAAAGAGTCATGGTGGGTGGCCCTTCAACCGAACGCACTGCGCACGCACCTCTACAAAAAGGCATGTTTAGTATCTGATCAAAACATGTTCAGCGGTCAGGATTTTCCACTGATTCGGCATTGAAGGTGCCAAGCCTCAATCGAACTGTTTGCACGTCTGTGTGTTGGCTGTGTTTATTGCATATCTCGATTAATATATTATTATACATTATATGTATATATATTTATATATACATACTACCTGCGGTATATTGACTTTGATCATAGGGCCAATGTTGTTGCTAAGGCGAAACCCACAGAACATGTTTCTGCTCCGCCGACACATTTTCTGTTTGCAGTGAGAGAGTAGAGCAAACGCGCTGCTATGCTTTTGCAAAACGTCCGGAGTCCGGGCTTTCTTTGGTAATTAACTAGTGTGCAAAATGGCACAACAGTCCGGCTTCAGCAACACAAATGGAACATGTTACAGTACTCTGTCTGACGTTGCAGAAATGGTGAGGGAACATCGAGCAACATATAAAAGCATCACTTAGAGCGCCTTCCGTAAAGAAACCTCACGAACACAGCTGCCAAAGCGAATAAGGAACACGAGAAGAAGCGTTGGCTTGCAAAGCATCATCATGTCTGCAAGACCACGCGAGACCTGTACACAGCAGCTGCAGGTCGTTTGGCAGATCAGCTCGGGCCCCTTGTGGTTTGTTTGGCGTCGATCCTACTCGTTAGACTCAATAGACATGGCAAAGGCCACTTCCAGGTGGGTGACTCGGAGTGAAGGTGACACCTCATTCCACTCATGGAATCAAATTGAATTGCATGGATCAGTTGCAAAATAATGCGGAAACATAGTGAAGTAATGATTTTTAGATAACACATATGCAACACTGTTTAGCGGATTTAATTGTGAGCACTTGGTGCATGGCTGCTATGTGGTGTTCAGCAAAAACAGAACATGCACCAGCAAACATCGCTTCAGTGGTGCGGAATGAACCTCCTGACAGAACATGCATCTATACTAGGGTCAAGGAACTCTTGCAACACTTGCATTAGGAAGAAGGGCAGGGGGAGATAGGAGGAAGAAAGGTCCAACAGCAGGACACAAAATGTCTGAGAAACTGATCTGCCCTTTCCTTGTGGCCAAGTTGCACCAAACTATTTCGCAAGACACGGATCTGAACTACCTAATTCGAGCCAGACTTTGCGAGAGGCAGAGTTTAACAGCTAGCCCTGTACGATATGTCATATATATAACACAATCGCCTGGCAACAGTGAAGCTTACGAGGAAGACCTCCAACAGAGCCAGTGGATTGAAGTTTCAAAACATACAGTACATGGTTGATGACAAGTGAACGATAATTTTTGTGAGTGAGTGAGTGAGTGAGTGAGTGAGTGAGTGAGTGCGTGCGTGCGTGCGTGCGTGCGTGCGTGCGTGCGTGCGTGCGTGCGTGCGTGCGTGAGTGAGTGAGTGAGTGAGTGAGTGAGTGAGTGCGTGGGAGGGAGGGAGGGAGGGCGGGCGGGCGGGAGAGAGAGTATGTGTGAGTGTGAGAGTGAGAGTGAGGGTGAGTGAATGTGAGCCAGGGGGTGAGTGAGGGGGCCAGTCCGTAGTTGCCAAACGCTACTTCCCATAATTGCTGCACTTCTACCACCAAGTCATCTATTCTTCCTTTCGCTGCTCTGACATTGCGTCGAGGATTCTCTGGCCCCACCCGCTGACCCGCAACAGTCAGGGACCAGTGGCGCAGCCCTCACAGTGGACAATTCTCCAATCCCCTCCGGCACTGTCAGGGCCATAGCCACTCTATCTGGAACACTTGCCAGCATTCACTTGAGGAACACTCCGGCCCCCGTCCCGTTCCCTTTCGCATCTGTCGCTTTGTCACACTACCGCCAAGATCACGCACAAGCTAGCTGGAACTTTTACCTCAGATGATTCTCTGCAAAACTTCGAATGATAACACTGGCCAAAGCATGAACTACATTCGCATGGTGCCTCATGTCAAATGCCGCCCTGATCTGCTGAAGGAAGACATGGAACCTTCAAGATTCAAGAAAGTGAGTTGCTTTTACCTGAGAATGACATGGACATGATTACGTTAATTACCGTGCTCGGCAAGACTTGCAACTTGATGTAGCATGTACCATCTTCCATCACGAAATCCCTCGTACAAACCCTGCGAAACGACTCTGAAGGTCAATCATCCTTTTCGAACCCTCCCGAATCCGCGGATCTCGTGAACCCCGCAGAAGCGGCGGCTCAACTGTTGAAAGCGAAAGAAACTCTGCAGATCTGCAATCAGTATGATTGTGGTATGCATCTTATAACTTATAACTTATTACATGGACTTGATGATGCTACAAGAACTTATTGTACCGCGGGGTGGAAACGTCATTACACCTGCGAGCGTGCACATATATAGGTGCTCACGATACTTGCTGCAGCCCAAGCAATTTCAATATTGAACAAAGCCATACAAGGCCAAGCTTTGTGGTCAAAAATAAAGCCTGGCCTTGTACTATGCACAAGCAATGGCAACAAAAAAACCCTGCAAAAGCCAGAGGGCAAGTATGACACATCATGTGTATAATATAAGCAATATCTTTCTGTCCTGTCAAGCCCTGAGCTGCAACATGAGCAAGCACTGACGGAGTGAAACTGCCGAACCGCTGAAACCAAGCGACCAAGTCCTTAAAAGGGACCGAACCAAAGTGCTTCCTGAGGATGTCTGAACACATTGATACACATTGTAACAACTTAAAAGGCCACTAAGGGTCGAACTGATATTTGTGCTAAGAATCAAGGCAATTTGACACCAGCCAGAACAGTGCTTACAAACGGTGCGACAAGACTACTAGTCACTGACTAGTCACTACAGGAACAGGTCCCTTCCAATTCTCGGCAAACTCTAGACTATCTCGTGCGGCACCCCGAGCCGGCTGTCCGGCATCTTCGTTGCCATTTGAACGCAACGAGAAGTCAGGGCAGACTTGCAATGACTTGCACGTCCAAACAACAATCACAAACATTCACACATACTGTACCAACACTTGGCCATGGTATGCCATGGGTTTCTTTCTTTAACCTGCTCTGCCTGACTTGTCATTGCATCTGTTGCATCGACAGATCCTGTGGCCAGAACTTGGGACTGCATCAAGGGCAATGGAACCAACAAACCGCTGATGGCTGTTGTTCGCCGCAAACCGCAACCAATCAGGTCGATTCAAGCCCAAAGTCCTGGCCATCTTCAACTCGAAGGTGCTCAGGCACCAGACCAAGTGACCAATTCGCTGCACTAGGAAGACATGTTGTCAGGTACCAAACACTTGATGAACGTCAGAGACGTGAAGGGGCCGAACGGGCCCAACAAGACGTGCTCACAGTGGTCGCCAGCCTTCTCGAGTTGCGGTCCTATAACTACTGCCAACTAGGCTCAGACGCACCGTTCGCAGTCTTAGCCTCCGTCCAGTCGAGAGGTGAAAGGAGACATGCTTGATGGTTGATCAGCCCAGTCGTGCTTCTTAAGTCGAACATAACCGTTGTGATAACTTCAGCCTGTCGTTATCCAATTATTCAGTAGCAATAACTCACAATATGGATCAATACAACGTAACCAGAAGCTACTAGTCGCACATTGCTTCGATGCCAACAAACACATTGCAACTTTCAAGTAGTTATATACCAGTAATATACCACCTGCTCACATCGAGAATGCCTGCTCACGTCAGTATCCAAATGCAGATCCTAAACAGAGCCAAACAACGAGGGCAAAGGACTATAGGAACAAGAACCTAGTCAAAGCAAAGCCCCCAGGTTTTTTCCTCAGATAAATTCCAGCTGATGAGTGAGGACATGTCAGTGTTCAAACTTGAGATCGAGTTCAAACACTTCCAAATGATGACGAGATGAGTTCAAACTTCTAGCTGCTCGAGTTTGTTTAGAGTTCGAATCTAAGCGGGGCGCGCCATGCAAGTCTTGTAAAGGTGTTATCATTCTGGGACATGCAATGGGTCGACATCCCATCTTCACCTGCCTCGTGAGGCATGGAACCGTGGCCGTTGACCAACGTTCCATCTGGGCCAGGGCATGACCGGGGAACATGCCGCACAAAGTGGCTGAAATGCCAAAGCTCGTTAAAAGGGCACCCTACGTTTCTTCATTCAATTTGCCCATATCCAATGCACAAAACCCGCACGAGTTCTTAGGTGTGCAAAGAGAATGTCTAAGCACAAGCCACAACAGGCCCTATATTTCTTGTATACAACTAGCAGGATGCGAACTCAGTGAGCAGGCCACCTTTCCTACAATCGCCAGCAAATGCTTCGCTGATGACAATCAATGGATGTTGCAAGCTGCTGATTGAGATTATGGCACAACTGCAAATTCCCTGGACAAATGTGGATGTGTCATGGCGTATTGTTAGCTCAATTTCGTCCGTGTTCATTCTGCCCCAGGCAGTTCCCCGCAATCTCTGAACTGAGTAAAGAGGCTTGTTCCTTTGTCGTCCTCTTTGTCAGCTTTTGACCTGCGCACCAAATGGAACTTCCCACTCTGCCATGTGAACAGAAAAGTTATATACAGTCAGTATCTACAACAATGTTCGTAAAGTGCCCTGGTGCACCTGCAACTTTACCCCTGTCAAAGCTTTCCATCATCTTCCTTTGCCCAGCAACTGGTGCCCAATTGCCTTCGATTTGGCTTCCGACCACGGCCAGGCACATCAGGTGGCGCCTTTTGCCAGAGAGGATATGACAAACATGTGCATCTGCATATGCAATACAAAGAGTAAATTCGAGTGAATTCATTCCAACCACGCGTGCTTGGCTTTGTAGCAAAGACTGCATGAAAGAGTCTTCAAGAACCTTGGACAAAAGCAGGAAGGAGAATCAAGCAACACGAAAAGCCTCCAGCTTTGGTCTTTTCGGGCTGTTCCGCGAAGCCTGGCAAAACTCCTACCAGGAGCCCCTAGTAGCGTTTTTGCTCCTAGTAGCGATGCCAGGAGCCCCTAGTAGCTTCTTGTTCCTAGTGGTACGGCCAGGAGCCCCTAGTAGCCCTAGTAGCGTCCTTATTCCTAGAAGCGATGCCTGCAACATTTCTAGAAATGATTGACTTGCGCAAATCAACAATATGCCTATGCGCCTCTGGAAGTCTGAGAAATGCATCCAGGCATGGCTGAGCGAAGCAGAAAAAAGGTCGCCGTTGCCTCAAAAAGAAAAAACGTGACCCGATTCCGGGCAACTGGGCAAAGCAACTCTGCCAGTTGCATGTCGATATCTCATGCAAGCCAGTTGTGAAAAAATTGGCCATGTATTATTACGTATTTGAAGGTGTCAAAAAAACAGGCCAAGATGCGAATCATTTGGATCAACTTGGGACAGATTGGGCAACCTCAGTAAGAAACAGGTCAACAGCACAGGAGCACGGCAGTGTTAAACCCCGAGTCCTCAAGGTCCAAAGCCATGTACAAAGCCATCAGTGATATGCATTACATGTCGTATTGTTATCATGTATTGTTACAGTATAGTATATATTTATATAGGATATAGTTGCACTTCCCTTAGAACCTGAAAGCTCAAAAGTGTGCACTAACACCACCTCAAGCCACTATGTTCTGCCTGCCAGGTTAGTGTAAGTGATCTGACAGGGGTGCCAACACCTACTAACATGGAAGGTGCACAAATGTGGCCGTCTACAAGAATCACACATGGAAGGCAAGAAATCAATTCAGCCAGCCTATACACCTGCCGCTCATGCAAGAAACGCACACTAACATGGAAGCTGGCAAAACCCCCTCCCAGCACACGTTGGAACTCTTGAAAGGGTTTCTGCTCGTACAAGTCTTGACTAACATAGCACCTGAGAATGTAAATTCTAAAGTTACACTAACATGGATGGAAAAAAATGCTTCTCAGCTTCTAGTACAAGATAGCGAAGAGTATATGTTTAAAGCTTGATGTACATGAAGATATTGCTCTTCATGAGCTCTCGACATTTGTAAATGCTCGTAGAGGTCGCAACGACCTGAGCAACGGAGGTTGCGCCCACTTGACAACTTGTCACAAAACGACAGCACAATCTGATGAAAGCTGCCAGAACATCCCGACTCTCTAGCAAGGCAACCATCTGCAATGCAAAACGTGACTGTGCAGCCAATTCAGGCACCAAAGTCTACGAAACATTACCAACATGTACTAAGATGCAGG